CCACGACGTCAAAATATCAAGAACATGTCTCACAGTCTTCGGTCGTCACCTGTGGTACCTCAGTGAAGGCTTGGTGGGTCTTGCACTCTTCGATCCACAAGTTAATGCAACAATGAAGACAAACATAGTTCGGGCAATCGTTGAGAGGAAGGCGACCGAGGATTCACCAAAACGTGCTGCTCTTCCTGCCACATCTTCCCTTCCCACAAAGCAGCTCTCAGACTTTGCTTCTAGAGGATCAAACTTTCTATTTGAAAGTCTCAAAATGAAGACTTCTTTTTTGTCCAAGGAACCTGACACATGGTCTGATGATGAAGACTTCAAAACTGGCGTCGCAGTTGTGGGTGGTCTCAGAGTCATCAACGACACTGCAGAGAGAGGGATTGCCTTGATACAGGCATTCAACAGCAAGATCACGAAGAGTGAAGACCAGCGTCAACATCTGCTGCAGGTTGTTGAAGAGCAGAGGCGGTCACAACCAGGGACATCAAAACAGGACCTTACAAGCAAAAAGCGAAAACAATGAATGGGTTGTCCACACCTCTCCCACCCATTGATGTAAGCGTGTTCACTGCAGTTTCATTTTAAAAAGGAATTAATCATTTATATGTACAGTGTACACATAAACTTGCTCAATATGTAAATTTTAAAATAAACCGGCATATTATGAATATTCGTATTTTTTGCCAAAAGGATAAAACTTCAATTGACTTGAGCTACCTCTAAATATTGTCCAAATGACCCAGGATTTCGCCTGTGTTCTTTTTTCATGGGTACGCAGTATTGGACCAATGGCCATTCCATTTAATCAATTTTAGAAATTCACCCCTATGCACTATTGTCACCCTAATATATATATATATATATATTGATAAAATCACACAGGGAAAAAGGGAAACAATGGAGCACCTTAGCTTTCTTCTTTATTCAAGACATCTGCCCAAGTGTCGTCAATCGACACTTGGGCAGTTGTAGAATACCGCCCTTGTAGTAGAGAAGGGGTTTTCTCTATCTCCTCCTCATCAACAACTTCGTTATGAATTTTAGCCAATGTTGGGTCAGTCCTTTGTGCTGTAGTCAGTTTTTCAGGATCATGAGGTAGAGGTACTGCAGGCAGTGCAGGGTTACCGCCAAGGTCCCCAAAACCAGTACGTGTGGCAGTAGGGAGTTTTGGAGGATCATCTCTCTCATCATTCATGTGTAGCCTGGCTTGAGACCTAGTGATAGCACATATAGGAAACAAATATGGCTGTTCTTTCTCAACTTCGACAGTATTGTTATGTGGTAAGGGAGAGTTCTGAACCTTCAATTTGGAACAACCAAATTGCCAGTCATTTCCCAGAAGAAGGGTTGCATCAGGTATTGGCAATGCTGAATCTGTAATACCCACAACCACTGTACCTCGTACAAGATCACACGCGAGATAAATCTTTGCTAAATAGACATGAATTGTGGAGGTCAGCCCTTTTACATACACCTTTTCCCCTGCGAAACACTTATGAATGTCTGGAAATGCCTTCCTTACGATTACACTTTGTGCTGAAGCAGTGTTTCTGGCAACCTGAAATGGGTGTTTCCTTGAATTAAGAGTGCGTGAAACAGTTTCCATTGATTTGAAAGCTTTGAAATAGCCTCCCGAGAATTACTGCTAGGCAGGTTAGCTGAGGACACTGGTTTAGTAAAGGTTGCCTCCTTAGAAATTTTGCATTTAGGATTAGGACTCTCCCTAATTACATGACCCTCTTTTTTGCAAAATCTACAAATTGGTAATTTGCTCCAAGCACCTAGCTGACTCTGTTCACTACACTTATCTACAGGGCCCTTTTTTTAACCTGCAGAGGACTGTACATTATGCAGCTTTTCTTTTCACCAGGGGTATGGCGATGGACTAGTGCAAAGACATCTGCTACATTAGCTACCTTAAGGAGACCAAATCTCCCCCTTATCTGTCAAGTGTAACGGAACCTTTCTTATGAATTCCTCCAGTACCATGAGGTTGACTGACTCCTCAAATTTGCTGATGGCAGCAGATTTAATCCACCTGTGAAAAGCCCTTAGTTTCTCAGAAGCAAACTCTGCGTACGTTTCGGTATTTAGTTTGCTAAGGTTTCGGAAAGCCTGTCTATATCCCTCAGTAGTAATTGAATATGAGACAAGGATCGCCTCCTTAACATCATCATAATCAGTGTTGTTTTGTAATCCCTCACAAGCCTTTAGAGCCTTTCCAGAGAGTTAGGCCACCTAAAATGATTGGCAATGGACTCGAACTCCCTGAAAACACCTTCAGAGTTGGATTCTGAAAAACAAGGTGCTAACTTTGATTATTTTGCTACGTCACATGTGTCTGTTTCTTCACTCCTACTGGACTGTTTCAGATGCAAAACTTCCAACTCATGCTGCCTCTCTCTCTCCCTTTCTTCTCTTTCTCTTTCTTTCTCACCGGTGCCTCAAATTTCATCATCTCAAACTTTACTTTCTCTAACTCGAGCAAGGATTTGGTGTCAGTGGCACTTATTACAGGCTTGGCAGAGTCTGTACCGTCAGTATCATCATCAACCTCATCGCCAAAGTGTTCTAGTATAATGTTCTTTAACTAGGTTTTGGTTACGTCAGCACCAAGTTGTATTCTAAAATATGTGGCTATATAGCAGAGATCGTCTTTGATAGGGTTTGAGATTTTCAGAAGCTCTACTAAGGGAGAAGTGACAAACTCTAATGTATTAAAGTCTGACATCTTGAGTGCAGGAATTGTTCGGACATATCAATTCGAATTGACTTCCTGCTTTACAAAGGGGTACAATAGCCCTACACTTGTGTGTGTTCAATTCACAGTTGATTGTGAGGTAAGGTCGGAGGATAAAATACAAGCTATAAAGTAGTGAAGCGGCTATCTAGCAATTTCTCATCCTTACCAGTTAACACCCATACAACAACAGCATGGAGAGTTTTCCCACTCTAGTTTGCCCCCAATTGTCAAACTAGAGTAAGAATTACTTCACTATATTAAAACTCTGGGTCAGCCTTTAAGTCTAAAGCTGGCAGGAACTTCGAATTGTAGAGTGTCTGTTGCCCTATGCATCAGGCTTTATTCCCACAATGTGCACGAGGAGACACCAGCTATGTACTTTAAATAAGTTTGATGTGGTCACTACTACAACCGAGTTGTTGCTTGTTTAGCTCTCTGTCTCAAGAAATGGATGAAACACGAAGGTTTCGAAAAGAGTGAGCCTCAGGTCAGCTTATGTGGGAGGACGGGTTCTCTTTAGTTTACTTTACCCTGAAAAGATAACTGTGAGTAGTGAAGTAAAGTGTATTGAGTCAACAACTGACTACCAGTGATTTGTCAGGTGACTGTAGCACACACCACATTGGACCAAGTGCGAAAATGAACTACTGTTATTGGGAAGCAAAATTACTTTACAAGCACACTTATGAAACTTTCACCTGACTGATAGCAGGGTCAATTCAGCAGAACGTAATTTGTAAATTCTGGTGTGAAATCAGATAGCTCCCGGACAGACCCCCATTATGTGATGTCCCTCCTTGCTACCCACAACATTTAGGAGAGGCAAAATTGACAAGTGAAAATACGGAGTGAATTATCTAGGGTTGAAATACGTGGATGCAGCAAGTAAGGAGCACACACACACACAAAAATCACTTATCGTGACAGACAAATTTAAGTTCTGAAAGGGATAAGAAGATTATCAAGTAAACTGAGTAATTTAATAACATTTATATCAAGATAGCTAATTCAGTACATTATGTAACACAAGTAAAACACAAAATAATGCCATTATCAACTCAAAAGTAACGCAACTATGCATTTATCAAAGCACACCGGAATATTACCCAATTATTCTTACTTTAAACATTAAGTACACATACATTATAGAACAACACAAAAACCTGATAGAATTAGCAGCTCAGGTAGCAAGTTTAGGTCACGATGGTCAACGACAAGGAACCAGGCATTAACGCCGTAGTCCACTACCCTCAAACCATCACAACACCATGAGCAGAGTAATCCATAATCCAATTCGTCATCCACACCCTGGGAGAAGAGGGACACCCTAGGCCACAGAAAAGAGAATTAGCTACCAGGCAGGCACACTTGCCTCAATACATCGGTCTCATAGTCAGATGGGAAACTTGTTCTGAATCGGTGCTCACTGGGTGGTAGGGGACTTATCTCACTTTCAGCACAAATGAAGATGTTCAAATTATTGGTAATAACGAATAATAATAAACTAACACACATCTATGGCAGGGTTCTAGACAAGTGTGTTGGTTTTATTTATCATACACAACTCATAGCTCTGATGTGGTCATTGATTTTATGTCTGATCACAAACCAACCCAAGCCAGTGTACATGTAGCCAGTGATGCCCCCACTGATAGTGTGATAACTACATCCTTGTGTAAGGTGAAGCTCAGAAGCGTTTACAGCGCCCAACAGGGAAGCATGCTAAGTTCATGTCTGCCTTTATGTCTCATGAGTTAAGGGCGAAGCCTGAAGAGTCAAGGGCGTAGAAGCCTGAAGAGTCAATGGTTTATGTCTAAGCAAGTTATTGGAAGCTCCAACAACTTGTCCCTGAATACGAATTCGCAACTTTCGATTTACAGCAGGTACCTACTTTGCTGTTAGGTGAACAGGGACCAATGGAGGCTGGGAAGTGTGTCCAAACAACTTTCCACCGGCCCGGGAATCGAACCTGTGAAATCTCGCTTGTGAGGCAAGAGCGGTACCGTTCTACCCACCGGCGCCCCCGTTGACTTACAATGATTTAGGACTTCATGCTCAGCCACAGCAGCTAATGAAAAATCTTCTGAAACAATTATTAATTCAGTTTGTTTGTTTAGAATCAAAAGAGTGTCATTCGCTTCCAATGGAAATGTTTCCAAATGCCATGGATTAAACTTCTTTTGTGATTTTAGTGGAATGTGTATTAGTATTTCCTTATGTGTGAAGGTTGCTTCTAATAAGGGGTAATAATATTCTACTTCATGCTCCTGAAAGATAGGAATTAGATGATAGGTAGTTTCAGCTATATGCAAAGCTGCAATATGTTGACCAACTAGCGACAACTGTGTACCAACATGACCTAAACCTGCATTCACTAAATCAGCTATGAGCCTACTATGGTATCCGTGAAAGCTTGCTCAGAGGCTTCCGCTGCATGCATACATTCTGTAAAACAAAGTAGCCATTCCAGTGTAGACTCTGGCCGTGTGAATCCCTGGACAACACTTGTTAGTTGATTAATTTCGTCGACAGTAGCATTCATAAGATAGCTCAGAGTTTGTACTGCCTTGTAGGACTCTGTAATGGCCCTATGAAACTGCATTCATTCGTTTCCCAAGTTTAGCTACATCTTCTGCGGTTGCCGTAACAAACAGGGTGTTACTTATTAAACTAACAAAATTAAATAGACCACGTTTTTGACGCCTCTGACAATGTACAGTCGGAGTCAAAAGTCTTGAACACTTAACAATATCTTGCATCTACTTCTGAGTTTTACATATATGATAACATATATACTAATAACACTACTTGTCATCACAAAATGGGATAAAACTCTCCTTAATACCTGCTATCGCCGCTGGCTTATAAATACTGGTGTCAGTTGTTGAAGATCGCTGCCTTCCCCGAACAAACATTGGATCTCTCAGCGACCCCCCTCCCCCACGCGGCCTGTTGCTTCGTGAGATGTATCGGCTGGGGGAGGCAGGGGCGGTGTTTACGGATAAAGAATTCCTGATTCTGCTGAATGTAAGGTTTAAAGGGTGACGTGGCTCTCATGACACAGATCGCCCTCTCGAGTGATGCGCCCCACCACGCGACCTGTGACCTCGCCAGATGCGGCAGGGGGGGGTGGTGTTTACCGCCGGCGTCAGTACTGGCGAGTGAGTATTGGCGTGAGTGCTGCGTTTGCTGCCCTACCCGAACAAAGATTGGGGGGTGGGCGGTGTTTACGGAGAAGAGGTCCTGATTCTGCGAAATGAATGGTTTAAAGGGTGGCGTGGCCGCCTGGACTGGAGAAGATCGCTCCCTCGAGTGATGCTGTAAGAACCAGCCTTCTGCTCGCACTGATAAACACCACACAATCCTGTCCAAGAATTTGTGCTGAGACAATTTACACAGTACTGTTGTCTCTCGGACCACCATACTGATCTGCATTGACCCGCACTTGTAAGTACTGTACGGCATAAGTGAAGACATACCCCTCGGTACTGAAATATTGTTGACTAATTACGTCTACTCGTTGCTGCCTAACCTGGAGTAATAAAACAATGCAGAATGAAGCAAAGCTAAGATTAACAGAGCTATGAACTTTGTATCGTGTCACTATGCTCAATAATCAATTATAATTAAGACAAATTGTGTGAGACTAACTAATTATGTATCAGATAGATCACCATGTAATACTAATGAACGCCTTGTTCTCTGCAGGTTTTAACCACATCAATAAATATTGAATGCGTCAACAGGCGGGTTTCAATCATTCCCTTTGACTTGCCCGTCACCTGAACGTCCTTATTCCCAAGGCGTTTATAATACCTAAGATCTTCGGGTACTTACATGCCAAATATTATCAAGTGTTCAAGACTTTTGACCTCGACTGTACATTCTTCCCGATGTCTTCAGGAGATATAGGTAGTTTTCCCTCGAAGTGATTTACACGCTTGAGTAGACTATTCATACGGTCGTTATAAAGTAAGATGGTTTGACAGAGTGTTGTAGATATGATAGAAAGTTGTTCGAGATCTTGCAGGGTGTGCCTAGCTGTTTCAATGTGGACAGCTATTGACCTCAGGTGCACTGGCATGCGCACCAAACCATGGAGCTCGTACTTGACAGTTACGGCATCTTCCACTACAAGTACTTTGCCCAGTGGGGCAACTAATGCCCTGGGTTTGACGTCTGCTGGGGATGTGGCTGTAGCGATATCCAAGCCATGCCTGAAAGGGGCGAGGATAATTAATAATTTTTGTTTGCTGATCCTAGTTTTTTACGATATGTATTGTCTACTGTCATGTCTTGTTGAGCAACTGTTGCAGTAGAAGTAGGATGTACTTGACTGACTGACATTAGAGGTCCCTACTAAGTCTTTGCTGACTTTTTTTAATTCTATCTACATGTACTATAATTTTCTGTGACGTTTGTCGTTGGCTCAACTACTTGAAATTTATTTCCATGTTCTTTCGCTTTAATCAGGTATGGACCTGTGAATTTAGGCGAAAGTTTTGATATGCGTTCCGGCGCGTTTATCATTACTGCGTCTCCTATTTCTAGAGTTATAGGCTTAGCGTTTTTATGTTGCTTGCAGATCATTTCAGCACGTGAGGCTGCTAAATGTTTTCGTACTTTTCCATGGATGCTTGTGAAAACATGTATTTATTTCTTGGCATAGTCATCCATGTTGTACACAGGTTGTGGGATTCCTGCTAGTACATCATAGGGCAAGCGTTTATCGGCACCATAAATTATGTAGTATGATGATTTTCCTGTAAAGCTATTGATAGATCCATTGATGGATGCGGTTACTTGTGGAAGCCAATCCTCTCACGAACTGTGCATTGGATTCACCACGTGTCGGAGAATCTCAACAATTTTACGATTTGTATGCTCGAGCAACCCATTTGAGGATGGATGGTAGACGGTTGTGAAGGTTTGTGTGATGTCGTATTGCTGACATATTGCTGTTAAAAGTTGATTCTTAAATTCTGCCCCGTTATCTGAGAGTATCACTCAAGATGTAGAAAAGGTACAGATAAGATGAGTGACTAACGCATGAGCCACTGCTTCGGCAGACTTGTTCTGCAATGGTGTTAGTACCATAAATCTAGAAAAGTGGTCAACGCACACAAGTATGTAATTAGCGCCTTGTTGGCTTTTTGGTAATTGCAATCAATCGATTGAAAATGTATCCCATGGACGTTCAGGCGTCGGGTATTCTAAGATTGGAGCGGGATCCATCGTTGTTCCCTTGTGTTTTGCACAAGATAAACACTTACCAATGTGATGCTCGATGTCGGTTCCCATCGCTTTCCAATAATATTTGTGTCTAATTTCTGTTAGACATCTGTCTTGCCCCGGATGCCCAGCTTGGAGTGCATCATGGAGGAGGGTGAGGATGTTTTCCTTTAGTGATGTAGGAAAAACAAATTGGGAGATTGACTCTTGTTGTGTTTTTACTGAGCGATACAGTATGTCGTGCCGGAGCTCAAACTGTGAGAGTGGTACAGGCATTTTTGGCAAATTTACCTCATCTCCCGATTCTAAGGCATAGATTACCTTGGACCACAGTGCATCCTGTAACTGTTCCGCCCTGAACTGTAACAGGGTGAGCGTGGGTAGTGGCGTGACAGGAGCTATGTGTCTAGATAGCGAATCAGGTACCACGTTCGCACGACCCGGCATTTTTTTTTTTTTTTTACGGGGAATGGCCCATCCGGGCACAGGTCATCGACCCACAACGGGGCCTAGGGGGCAAAAAAATAAGACTTTAAAAATAGAAGAGGAAAAGGTTTTATTAATCTACAGCACGAAGATGCCGGAAAACCAGCTTTTTAAAGTGAGACAGATTGTATGAGTGTGGAAACACAGAAGAAGGTAGAGCATTCCACAGGTTGGCTGTGTGAGGAACGAAGGATATATTATAACGCGTAATTCTAGTGTGACCGATATCCACAGAGAATCGGTGTGTTACGAGCCCACGGCATTGCCGGCGGTACACAGAATACCAAATCCACCAAACATTGCCCGTTAAATTACTTGTAAAAGAGAGAGAGTGATGCAGCATTGCGGCGAAGAGAAATGCCTTTGATTCCATCCTATCTAACAGTTGGTCAGAAGAGGAGCCACCCCAGATATGAGTGCAGTACCCCAAGTTAGGACGAATAAATCCCTTATATATTTGAAGCAACTGCTCAGGAGTGAAGTAGCGACGGCATCTGTACAGCAATCCTAGCTTTCGGGAGGCAGCTTTAGCAATGTTGAGGATGTGTGGCTTCCATGACATATTAGAGAAAATGGTGAGGCCTAGCATATCTATTTTAGAATTTGGAAGAATGATAGCGTCCTGAAATGTGATTGGTGGGAAATCTTCTATTATGGAAAGTTTAATTGGTAAATAATGTGTTTTACTACGATTAAATTTAGCCAAATTTCTACCTCCCCATTTGGAGATGCTACACGGATCCGCATTGATAGATGTAATGATATCAGCTCTAGAAACAGATCTAGTTTGAGAGTTAGGGGGAAGGGAATATGATAAGAAGAGTGAAGAGTAGAATCATCAGCGTAAGAGTGGATAGAATTGGTTGCAGAGTGAAGTAAATCATTGATAAATAGAAGAAAGAGAGTAGGTGAAAGAACAGAATCCTGTAGGACACCACTATTGGTAGAGAAAGAGCGAGAAATCGATCCCTTTACAACAACTGCCATGGATCGGTTCTCAGGGAAGGTAGAGATTAGAGAACAAAGTGGGGGAGAGAAACCATAAGAGGGAAGTTTAAAAGCAAAGACTTGTGCCATACCCTGTCACATGCTTTGGAGATGTCGAGGGCCACAACGTAAGTTTCCCCGTAATCCCTAAGAGAGGATGACCAGAGATGGATGCAGTAGGAGACCAGATCACCAGTAGATCTCGCCTGGCGAAAACCATACTGGTGATCCGATAAAAAAGAAAGGTGTTCAAGGTAACGGAAAAAATGAGAGTTTAAAATAGTTTTGACAATCTTAAAGAGGGATGAAGTTAGGGCAATGGGGTGATAGTTAGAGGGATTAGAATGGTCACCCTTCTTCGGGATGGGCTGAACCGAGGCATGCTTCCAAGAAGAAGGAAAAGTTTGGGTTTTGAGGCAAAGGCGAAAGAGGTGAGCAAACACAGGGGCCAAAATTTCAGCACACTCCCCCAGAAAACGAGCGGTTATTCCGTCCGGTCCATGCGGCCCTACTCACATCCAACCTGGATACCACACCAACAACCCTACGAGTGGAGATTATAGGAAAGTGCATAGGTTCAGTAGGAGGTGCAGGAGTAGGAGGGATAGAGTTGGAATCGTCTAAGGTGGAGTTAGAAGAGAATAGGGGGCCAAAGAAATTGGCTTTATCAGGGGTAGAGTTAGCTATAGAGTTATCAGGTCGGAAGAGAGAAGGAAAAGAAGGAGTGCAGAAGTTATTACAGATGTGTTTGGTTAAGGACCAGAAGGATTTACTAGAGGGAGAATTAGTCAGGACTGCAGTCTTTCTTTTTATAAAATTTTGCTTGGCCCTACGAAGAATAGCCTTACAACGATTCCTAGAAGTAATGAAAGAGGAGTGGGTAATAGGAGAAGGATATAGTTTCATAGTTTGATATGCCCTATCTCTCTCCCTGCAAGCAAGAGAGCAGGAATGATCAAACCATGATTGTAAAGTGATAATTTTGGTAGACGATGGGATAAATGCACTCATACCGCCCTGTATAACCCCAGCAATGCTGTCAACACATACAGAGGCGCTCCGAGTGGAAAAGCAACATTCATCCCAAGGAAAGTTGGTGAAGAATTCTCGCAAGGATTGCCAGTTTGCTCTCCGATAGTGCCATAGTTGACGTTTAGGGGGATGTGGGGGAGGTGGTTGTGCCCAACTCGATTTAATGGAAATAAGATTGTGATCAGAAGACCCTATGGGGGCAGAAATTGAGTATGAATAGTGTGAGGGGTTAGAAGTAAAACAAAGATCAAGAATGTTAGTAAGTTGATCGTGTCGATCAGGAACGCGTGTAGTGTGTTTGATTATTTGTTCCAAATCATTAAGTAAGGAAAAAGAGAGTGCCTCAGCTCTACCTGTGTCATCCCTTGCAAAGCCAAGCCACTCTCAGTGATGCACATTGAAATCCACTAGGTAGAGGATCTCGGTGTTGGGGTGTGTGGATAGCTGCGACTCATGGCAAGAAGTGAGATAGTCAAAGAGTTACAAATAGTTGGTCGCGTTGGGAGAACAGTGTAGGAAACAAAGAAAAATAGTCATTGTAGGTAGAGATATTTTGAGCCAGATGACTTCAAAAAGGTAAGATTGAAGATCCGTGAGTCGAGCTATAGGTGTAAGTGTGTTGCAGTAGGCGCATACACCTCCCATATAACGGAAAGAGGTATAAAGGTTGTAGTTGGAGACTTGAAAAGGTTTGCGTGAAGCAGCTTTGGACAGTTGAAGTTCGAAAAGTAGTAAGAGGTTTGGGGAAGAGGTTAATAGGTGGTGTTCCACAGAAGGAAAATTGGATCTCAGGCCGCGAATGTTGGAAAAATGAAATGTGAAAAAAGCCTATCCTCTAGCAACCACGGTGGTGTCAGTTTTTTTTTTGGGGGACGGGTTAAATTGGGGAAAGGATGGAAGGCATGCTGGGGCTCAAGGCACAGCCAGACATGAGGGAGAGAAGTCACAACATATAGTCGTGGGGGGAAAGGTTGGAAAAGAAGTTTAATGAGTTAAACAGAGGGGGACGACACCCCTTGTTTTACATATTACAGAGTGTGGTGCCTAACAAAGCTAACCTAGGATTTAGGATGAGGTTGCACAATGGTTATTTTAGTAGACAATGACTAGATTTATTTTACAATTACAAGTTTATTAAACTCTTATACTGTATTACGTTATGGACTCACTTGATTGTGACTTGTTAAATGTGAATTTATATCATCTAAGTTTTAATCTAAGGTGGATCACTGTGGCGGACATAGATGGGTCGCGTGTTGGGTTGTTGTAGTGCGGGCAGACTCCGGGGCCACCAGGCGTGGGGTCTCCCTCCGTTGATGTCTTCCCCGCGTAGGTGGTCTGGGCTGTGAGGGTCGTCCAGGAGCTTGTCCCAAACCTTCTTCCCTAGGCGATGGAACCTGAAGTTGAGGGCCTCTGTTTTATTTCTTAGGTGGATGGTTTCCACTGTCTCCTGGTAGGGTGGCGCTTGGCCACTGGCTGATCTCAAACACTTGTTTTGGAAGCTCTGTAGTTGTTGTAGTCTAGTCTTCCCGAGTGTGACGAGTGGTATAGATGGGTACTCCAACACAGGCCTCACCAGCGCCTTGTACAGGTGAACTTGTATCTTCTCAGGCATCAGTTTAAAACGTTTTAATTTGGCTGCGGCGACTTTGGCTTTATTTAGTCTGTCCTTCACGTGGGGAATGATGCCCGTCCGAGAGATGATGAGGCCGAGCAACCTGCCTTGTTTAGAGTACTCAATCTCTTCGTCGTCGATCATCAATGGGGCCGGCTTGAATTTGGCTATGGGTATGACCTCAAATTTCGTTTTGTTTGTTTTTATTTTCCATTTATTTTCATACTCCGAGATATCCTCTATTGCCCGAGCAGTGAGTCGCGCCATCCTTGCTGTGGACCTTCCTGGGCAGGTGACGATCTGTGTTACATCGTCGGCATACATGACGTACTCGCTGCCGACGATTGGGGGTGGCAGGTCAGCCGTGTAGAGTGTGTAAAGGGTTGGTGAGAGACAAGAGCCCTGAGGCACGCCGCTCGATAGTGAGAATTCTTCTCCAAAATGTTCTTGCATCTTGATTTTGGCTCTGCGGTCCATAATGAAGTTGCACAGCAGGCGCGTCAGATTTTCGGGTAGCCCCAGTTGTATGATCTTATACTGCAGCCCTGCGTGCCAAACTTTGTCAAACGCCTTGCTGACGTCCCTCAGTACTATATTGCACTGCAGGCGGCCAGTCATGGCATTGGCGATCTGCTCGTAGGCCTGAGCTATGGCGGTGGATGTGCCTCGGTACTGGCGGAAGCCGAACTGGCGGGGGGGATACATCCGCAATCGCTTGTTTACTATTTTTTCGAAGATTTTGGCAGGTACCTCTAGCAGCGATATTGGTCGAAAGTTTTCGACTTTGTTTGGAGGCTTCCCTGCTTTTGGTATGAGGCGAATAACGGCGATTTTGAACATCTTAGGGAAGTATCCAGAGGCGAGGCAGGCGTTGCATATATGAGCAAGCCTCTCTATCATGTTGTCGGGGAGTTGAGCCAGGATCTTCTTGTTAATGTGACTTTGACCA